GGCACTTTCGTGTTTTTATTTTCACGAAAGAAACGACCAATAACAGGCAGTATTTGAGTACCGAGCGAATATGCAAACGCCAATTATATACCAAGATTGTATTTATATATGTAAATATGTAATGAATACATACATATGTACATATGTGTATGTACTGAATTGTAGACTAAGGCGAAAATTGCTAACGAAAGCATGTTACGTATGTACATAAATATATATACCTACATCTACTTAATACATACTTGCAAACATAGATTTATAATTACATATGTATGTAGATATGTACATACGGTGGTGAGAATGTAAACATGGAAGAGACATTTTAGCAAGTTTTGGCTATTTTTCTTTGTTTAAAAATGTTGATTATTTTTTTATGAAAATGTAGCTTACAATCTAAAAAAGCTATGTAAATCAAAATTTGGAAACTTTCTAATCAGATTTTTTGAGTATGTAGTTTTATAACGCATTAAATTTTATTATAACAAAGTGCAAATTTTAAGTAGCTGGGACTTACCGTTGATTTTTGGAAGTTTTTATGTTCGCGCATTTTCTTCCATACAAAGTATGTTCGACAATTTTTTTTGCATGGAGAAAATTTGTAACACCTTCCACAAAAAAAAAAAAAAAATGCTAAAAATCAACGGTGCACTTTTTGAATTTTTCTAAGAAATCTAATTAAAAAGCTCAAAATCTTAATGACAAAGTTTGTTGAATTTACTAATTTTTGTACAAAGTTTGAAATTTTGACTTACATGGTTTTCTATAGATAACGAACTGCACTTTCATAAAAAATAATACAAATTAAATAAACGAAAGAAATATAGCAAAGGAATGCTAAAATGTCTCTTCCCTATTTATATTTTGGCCACTGTATATGCATACCAGATCTTTATGAATGTTCGTATGTGCGTATGCTGGAGAATTCTTATTTTGCAGCTTTAAATCGAAACATCTTATGTACTGTTTAATTGCAGTCTGACACTTTCACAGCACTACAGATCGAGTCATTAATCGACGGACGGACTATTAGTACGCTTACAAGCATTAACCATATTGTAATGAAATTTTGAGATTAAAATTTTGCAAGCAGCAATTTAGTTTAATTATAAATTACAAGCAAAATAAAATTTTAAATTAAGCCCTTTTTAATATGTTTATGTTTAGGGATCATTAAAAAATATATACATAAATAAAATATAATAATAAATTATAAAAAGTATAAATACATATAAGTAATTAAATGTTTGCTGCAAAAAAAGCTGTTTAAATTTCCCCGGTAAGTACGCGGTCAGTGAAAAAATAAAAACGAAGTTCCGACGGCAAATTAAATGTACATATCTTGTGAAAAAAAAAAAAAAATAAAGTATTAAATACTTCTGCTAAAAATTTCTATGGCTGTGACTTTATATCCGATAAAAGAAAAGGACTTGTGAAACAAACAAACTTAAATGCGAGAAGTGTGTAGACGAATAAAATAAAACAAACCAAGTGTTAAAACATAATTTTACCACAATTTAAAGATTGTATATCAATTAAATGGAGGTAATTTGTAATTTATCAAATAAGGACTGCACCGAATAAAATTGTCCGTTAAAATTTTTTCCATATTGACTACAAAAAAAAATTGAAATTGAATTTTCGGTATCATATTAGCTCTGCATTAAATGTCAGAAATTATTAAGCCTATTCTAGGTACTTTATGATTTGCAGGTTTTACAGGATTTACGGGAAAAGCTGTTTTCACGTTTAATAAACCTTATGGAAGGTGGCGTACGGGAACAGTTTCTTGTAAAAACCTGCAAATCGTCAAGTACCTGGAACAGACTTTATGTTTGTCCTTTCGTTAAATAAAAAAGTTATTTCACGCGAAAAAGACAAGGAAATTGGAATTGCCAGAATTTATTACTAAAATTTTTCAAACGAAATCTGATTTGGTCTTTTAAGAGTACGGCTGGGACTATCCGTATATTCGAATATCCGGATATCCAGGCGGATTATCCGTTGACACGGATAAAATCCGGATAGTATGGATATCCGGTTAATTCGTATTTTCGGATATCCAAAAAATCAAGAAAATTTGGTAAAGCATTCACTATGAACAAAAGTATCGTAGCAGCTTTCATTACTCAGGCCATGATATTTTAAAGCCATTGAGAAACTCTCGCGGTCAATTTTATATAATTTTTTATTTGTACGAAATGATATTTTCATTTCACAATACCAGGCGCTCATAAATATGAAGTAGCAAGTTTTCAATACGCATAAATTTCTTTGTAGAACTTTTTAATTCGTTTCTAGGCGCCTTTGAAATTCACAAAGTGGAAATTTAAAAATTCATACAAAATATTTTGTGCGTAGAAATAGAAAACTTGTTACTTCACATTTATGAGGGCCTGGTATTGTGAAATGAAAATTTCGTCTTGAACTGGCCATACGAGTAGCAGGAAAATGGAGACATTTTATTAATTTATTTGTCCTATTTTGCATTTCAATAATATCTGATATCCGGAGACCTAAGGAAAAATCCGGATATTCGGATATCCGAATATTATTTTAGCTTCGGGAATATCCGGATTTTTAGTTTAGAAAATTGGCATTTTTTTTGGCATTCACTCAATTTTAATATTAATATTATTTTTTAATGAAAGCTAATAAAATTTGATAGGAACGAGTTGAGCCAAGTTTATTGAATTTTTGTTTGTTGTATTCAATTTTTTAGTGCAAAGTGCAGAAAAGGGAGCAATTTTGGATTAAATCGATTCTCCTGTTCCAGTTAAAAAATGTTACATAATAAAAACAAGTTGAAAACAATTGTAGGTCTCTTCCACAGCGATTTTCTTCAAAATTAATCGAATTGAGGGAAAAATGAAGGCTCCAGTGAATTGTGAACACAAAATGTCAATTTTGAACCATTGTGCGCTGTAGCCCAGTGGTTATAGTTGCGTACTCATACTGCGTATGAGCAAGGTTAGACCTCTTGTCAAAGCAACATCCCAAAACAAAAATTTTAGAAATAGGTTTTTAGTAACAGCGGTGGCCCTCGTTTTGCCTTGAAAAAAAAAAACAAACTTCTCATAAAACCCATTTGCCGTTAGGAAGCGGCGTAAAACTTTAGGTCAAATTGGAGAAAAAGCTTATTATTAATAAGTATTATTAGAAACCAATGCACCCAACTCGTCTAAACTAACTCCGAATGTGAGATATTAAGCTCTCATTGAAAGATGAACGAAGGTTACAAAAAAAAAAAAACAGGTCAAGTACCTTCAAGACTAAAAGAAAGTGGTCTTTAGCAGCTACACCCTCTCAGCTGCTAGACTTTACTATAAAAACGCTAATTGGCCGGCCTTTGGATCAAACGGTAAAAGCTGACGTTACTTTACCACTTTATTATACCCGCGCGCACTTGTGCACAAGGGTATATTAATTTTGTTCACATAACGGTTGTTTGTAACAGCCAAAACGAATCGAGATAGATATAGACAAATGTATACATATATGCTCAGAATGAATAGAGAAATCGATTAAGCCATGTCTGTCTGTCCGTCCGTC